TGTTGTTTTTTTACCAGATATAACATTGTGGAGCTTGTATTCTTTATGCTTCTCTCAACCAGGTTGTGTTTCGGGTACATCCGATTCGCTCTACCGAAGCTGGTACCTTCATTGTTCGCTGCAAGTTTAACTTTGCAACATTAGAATTGATCGTTTGGGGCTTTTACAAATCAGTTTATTGCTTTGTGCATTTGTGATTTCTTGTATCTTGAGTATGTATATCTTCTGAATCGATAAGTCACTGAGTCCGCTGCTTTATCGTCGCGATTTGATTCATTTTGACGTTGAAACAATGGGTACCTCAATCGGTTTTAGCTCGTCTCCATGTTCATCTTCTTCTCTTGTTTCTTTTCCTGTTGGTATGCTGCATTTTGGACATTCACGAGTTTCAATGACCCGGATCTTCGGACTTTGTGGATTAGGAGGAAGGGGTCCGGAGAGGATCCCTTTCCAGGACCACCGTATTCTTAAAATTATTGCCACTCAGCTTATAAGAATCCATTGCATTTCAATAACTGATTTTGTGATCAATTTCCGACCAGAATCACATGAGAATTATGGGCCAAATTAAAGCAATGAAGAGTGTCAAAATTACTGAAATAAAAAAAAAAAACCAAACAAGCGAGCATATCATGTCTGACTGAATGCATCCCCACTCCCCAAAACCAATCTTTTCGGTTTTATAGTGGTGGTGTCTCCCATGATGCTCACTCGTCACTCTTTGTTCGTTTCTGTCTTTCTCCTTTCTCTATTTATTTCTTATTTTTTTGTGCAAACTTTTAAGATCCAACCGACAATTAGGGTTTAGGGTTGATGACAAAACATAACGTAGAGGAAAGAACTTGGCTGCTGAAGAATTCAGCAACCGGTCCTGCTTACAACCAATTCGGGATGGACACGTGTTCAAGTTTTTGACTAAAAAACCAAAACTTAAACACGTGTCCATCCCGGATTGATTATAAGCAGAATTTATAACAGCCAAGTTGTGTTCTAACATAGAGCCATAATTGATATTTCCCTTGTAGTTTTTCTTTAATTTCCATGAGAGCATAACTGAACTATAAAATTTACAAACAAAATAGAGAGTTGTTGTATTTTTCTTTCTATAATATTTAGAGTGCAAAATGAAAATTTTTTAGTGCTAACAATTTCCATAAAAATTAAAAAAAAAGAAAAAAAAGGCTAGAAAAACTATTGTCGCATAAACTTTTTTCTCCACTGCAAGTGGCATTTTTACAACAGTGGTGGAAAGATGTTGAGTCATTGCATGAATCCCGTCGTTGACTAATTTAACAAAATCTATCGATTGACAAAAAAAAAAAAAAACTTTTTCCTCGTCAAGTAAAACGCCGCCGTTTGCCCCACTTCCATTTCCATCGCTATCGCGTTTTTGGTATCTGGGTTGCCCTGCTCAAATTGCTTCACAACATATAAAGATACACACACGCGTATCGTAAACAAACACGATATGCTGTTCTATTGAGTATTTGATCAACACAGTCACTCCTCTCCCTGCTATCTTTTTAATAGCATCAATTCAAGCTCTGATTCAGCCTCCAATGGCATCCGATGCTGCCATTGCCACTTGGTATTTGCTCTCTCTTTCTCTCTCCCCTCTGTTATGCTATTCTAGAAAGAGAAAGTAAAGCAGGTTTCGTTCATTCTGTTTGTCTTTGTGAACAGGGGCTCTGGGGAAGACGGCCAATTGGGAATCGGGAACAACGAGGAGAAGGAATGGGTGTGCGCCGTCAGAGCCCTCGAGTCGCAGACTATCCGCTCTGTTGTCGCTGGCAGCCGAAATTCTCTCGCTATTTGCGATGACGGCAAGGTGGGTCCTCTTTCATCTTCTTCTTGTCTTTTTATCACTCTATCCACTGTTTTGATTACTACCCTTTTCACTTGTTTGTTTTGGGTTTACTGAAAGTTTGGATTTTTTTTTAAAAAAAAAAAATTTGGTTTTGGGTTTACTGAAAGTTTGGATATTTATTGAACTTGTGGTTTTGGATTTACTGAAAGTTTGGATTTTTGTTGCATATTTTGTTTCACTGGAAGTTTGATTTTTTGTGTTGTGAATTGAATTGGGTTATCAGTTGTTTACATGGGGTTGGAACCAAAGAGGAACCTTAGGGCACCCTTCCGAGACCAAAACTGAGAACATTCCAAGCCAGGTTAAAGCTCTTGCCAATGTCAAGATTGTTCAGGTAATTTCGAATTTATCATAACCGTGCTTGGCTTTGGAAGTAGTTAATTTTTTTGTTAGTATAATTTTGCTTTGATTTAATTAGGGGTTGTTTGAAATCTAGGCTGCTATTGGTGGATGGCATTGTTTGGCTGTCGATGATCAAGGTCGTGCTTACGCTTGGGGTAATTGATCAAGCATTTTTTACTGTTTAAGTTGCTGTGAATATTTATTTCATTGTTTCAAGTTCTCTTGTTTTCATTATTTAGAATGCAATAGAAGAAAGAATGTGGTCCTTTAAGCCAGTTAAGCCAAATGCCAAAAGATGGTTGCTTCTAAGTCATGTTTTAAACCATCCTCAAGTTTAGTATGTTTAACTTCCAAGTAGAGGTTTTGGTTGGTTTTCTTGAGGTGTGGTAAATAGACCCGGAAGTTGTTTCTTCTCAGTCTAAGGGTACAAAGTTGTTTGGTGCAGGTGGGAATGAGTATGGACAGTGTGGTGAAGAACCTGAGCGGAAAGATGACACTGTTAGACCTTTGAGAAGGGATATAGTGAATCCTCAACGCTGTGCACCAACACTTAAGGTCCGCCAGGTGAGTACCCATGCCTGTGTCTAGAGAACTGCATGATAGGAATTTTTGGATGTAGGATGCTTTTGTTTCTCAAGAGACATCTCTTTCTATAAAACGGTATTTGACATGTTCTAATTTTTCACATCCCAGGTAGCTGCTGGGGGTACTCACTCTGTGGTACTTACACGTGATGGGCAAGTATGGACATGGGGTCAGCCATGGCCTCCGGGAGACATGTATGTTGCCCTTGGACTTGAATCTGTCAACTTGTTTTCAAGCATCTTTCTTAGATTGCCGCCCACCTTCTGGGTCATACTATATCAAATGCTCTTTATACTATAACAGCTACGTGCATGGATGTACTTGTGAACTCATCGCTCACTGTCGTTTATCATACAATCATTCCTGGACTTTGCTTCTAATTTTCAGAAAACAAATTTCAACACCTGTGCGTGTACAAGGTCTTGATGCAGTGAGGCTCATTGCAGTTGGGGCATTTCATAATTTGGCTCTGCAGGAGGATGGTACTTTATGGGCTTGGGGTAATAACGAATATGGACAACTTGGAACAGGGGATACTCAGCCGAGATCGCAGCCTATTCCTGTCCAGGGGCTATCTGGTCTTAATTTGGTTTGTATCACATTTCCGTGTAGTATCTTTTTGTTTAATTTCTCGTAGTTGCTTATGCCTAGCCTCATGTATGATTATCTCAATTTTTTCTGAATGTGTGCCTTCGCGTTATCCACTATACACTGAAGTGCGTTGTTTCCTGACCTAGTTGTATTTTGTCATGATTGTGTTGTCATGTGAAGAATTTTTGGAATAACCATATTGTCCCCATATAAAGATTTCTTGTGTCTGCAGATTTCCTGGATCACTTCATAGTTGAACGTCTGCAACTAGATGATACGCCATACGTTTATAATGTGTTTGCCATATGTTTATAATGTGTGTTTTTTTTTAACCTTTTTGCTTGTATAGGTGGATATTGCTGCTGGAGGATGGCATTCTACTGCACTAACAGAAGATGGAGAGGTGATTTCTCTCCCTTCCTCCCTTCTAACATACACCAATGACCGTTTGAGATCAACCTGCTATAGTTCAAATATTTCGGTATTGCTACCGTTGTAACATCTGCATTTGAGTCAGTGGGATATCCTTACTTCTCTCCCTTTTTCATTTGACTGCAGGTGTATGGTTGGGGACGAGGAGAACATGGAAGGCTTGGGTTTGGTGACAATGATAAAAGTAGTAAAATGGTGCCGCAAAGGGTTCATCTTTTAGCTGGGGAGGATATTGTTCAGGTACTATCTGTAGTTCATTCCTCGCCACTCCTCTGAATAACTCGGACTACAATGTGTTTTATCGTTGATTTGATCGATTTCTATCATCGATTGCTCCAAAAATCCTGCAGGCTCGTAATAATCTCGTTTCCTTCCAACAGTTTGAGATGGATTGTGTTTATTTTTCATGTAGGTGTCTTGTGGAGGCACTCACTCTGTTGCATTAACTCGTGACGGGCGAATCTATTCGGTAAGAAATTTTCACCAATACGAGTTAAAAAGATAATTTGCTTACGTTAATTTCTCATTACCTTGCTTTAGTTCTTGCAATATCTTGAGTTTCCTTCCACATCACATCTGGTTCCACCATTTTTGTTTGAACCAACAACTTGCTTTTGTATCGGCAGTTTGGCCGAGGCGACCACGGACGCCTTGGATATGGAAGGAAGGTGACGACTGGTCAGCCGATGGAAGTTCCCATTGGCATCCCTCCCAGAAATGGCACTGCAGACAATGGACACTGGATTGCCAAACTCGTCGCTTCTGGAGGACGCCATACGTTGGCAATCGTAGAATGGAAAGCCGATGATGAACCAGAATCATAGGAATCATGTCCGAAAATTATCCGGTAGCTCGAATAATCGATGTTGGTTATGTATAACTGTGTTATCTAAGTTCAAATAGTAACATAACTTAATATTTTCGTTCTGCATATTTTTTGCTTCCGGGTTTTTGAATTCGGTAAAGAACTGTTTTGCGTATGGGTTTTTGAGATCGGTATACACCGAAACTCATACAAACATATGCCCCTTCGAACCCTTCTAGCTTGTGTCAGGTTAGGGTACGTCCAGAGTTCCATTCCCACCAAACTAACTGGAAAAAAAAATTGATACAAACGCAGAGCGCGGCTAATGAAACGGAGACATTGTGCTGTTTAATTTACAGCTACTGATTTGAACGGAAGTCAGATCACAGCCGTTGCGCCGGTGCTCCGGGGGTCATGACCGGTGCCAATTCCACCATGTCTATGTCTGCTCCTAAACATCCCAGCATGCAGAAGCAACAGGTAAAGCAATTGACTTAGTAGTGATACTGCAATCATAGCTTCCAGTGTGTGCTGAAAAACACCAATTAATTTACATAATCTAGTTTTAATTTGTTTAATTGTGCCTCGGCAAACAGCAATATTTGCTTAAAAATTCTCTTACCAAGCGTTTTCCTCTGTGCCCTCCTAATATGATCTCTTTACACACAAAACTGCATCAGACACATCCAACCAAAACTGATTAATTTCTTGACTTTTGTTATGAAAATGTAAGCACTTTTTCATGTTGATTTTGGGGCGGAGATGGGAGAGAAAACTACCCGAAAGCGAAGGCGATAATCGTCAGGGCGACGATAGCTGAAGAAGCTGCATCGGCTAAACTATCAGTTCGCCATATCCGGAGATGTATCAGACCGTAAAGCACAGAAGCAGCACCAACCACACCGGCTATCAATGCAAAGATCAACAAGAAGCTAGTCGATGTATTGCCTCCCAAATCTGTACAAAAGTATCAGAGCTCAAAACCCTATTTCAGCCATAGTATTCTAAACTACTCTAATCTATGCACAAGGTAATCGTACTCGGTACACATAAGTGATACTTTTTCTGATCAACTTTCCTAATCCACGTCCAGTACCAGAGGGTATATACTAGAGGGATACTACACTGACAATAGAACATGCAATCTAATTAACTAACTTAACCCAACTCGAGTACTAGAGGATACTAAATGGACAATAAAAATAAACAATCTAATCAATTGTGCGTTACTAAACAGACAATAAAACAAGGCACTATACCGTGATTTACATACGATGTTTAGTCTCTCCCACTACTATTTTGCAGAGTTGGTTCTATTTGTGCATATTTTCTATTGAAATTCTAGTGGGCGTAAAATAAGCAATGAAAACGAAAAAAGGAGTGATTGAGAGAGAGAGAGTGCTTACGGGGGTGATTTTGCTCTCCGTTGATGTATTTTATCAAGGGACAAACAAGCAAGTCCAAGCATGATCAGATGGACCACCAAGTTGACTACCAGAAGAGGAGCCATTAAACCTCTACCAATCCTTCCGACCGCCATTGATATCAAAGCTTCAAAAGCTCAAGCTGCAACACTTCAATCTTTTTAGTTCTCAAACTATACACACTTTTAAACTCCAATCTCAAAAGTACACACCCTGAGACCTGAGTGACACAGAGAGGTTCAAAGCTGATGGATGAAAAGGACAGAAAGCTCTTTGTGTTACGTGGTTTGTTGTAAGTAACCCAACTGTAAACGTTCAGCAAGCAATGGCATGGTTCCTTTAACGTGGAGATACACCATGCATGAAGAATTCTGGTCTGAAAAAACAAACATACGAAATTATAGTTTGGATTTGGGAGCTATATTTGTTAGAACAAAAAAGTCACTTGGTTCACATGCAAAGCTGACGGGAGTTCGTTTAATTAATTAATTACCTTGTTGGCCAATGACGTTGTTCAAAGGGACGCTAGGTTCAGTCATCATGAGATATGTGTGCATGTGCAGTTAAAGTTATCCACGTACATAAACGACTGATTGTAGCATAATTTTATCTCATTAGACTCTCAAAAGAAAAACTTAGCAGTGTTTGAGGCACACGTGCTATGGCCCAGCTCAAAACTAGCCCACGTTAGAGGATCCCGAGGAGTTGCCTCGGAGGGGATCCAATTCCCCAGAAAATGAGGGAGGTAGTCCAAGGGCACACGTGTTATAGCCCTCCCATCCTAACCTACCCCTCACACAAGGTCACTGCCAACCCCAAAGTTCAAGGCTGGCTTCGTTTTGGCCTCTCAAAAAAGTACGAGACCCTCTATATTTTGTCTAAACCGGCCTCAAGCTTGTTCCACCTGTCCTAGTCACGTGGCCCTAATTCTCTCTACTCTTGAGTCTCAAGTCTCACAAACTGTTACAAACCGATTGCATGTAAAAATTGATACACTGTCAAAATTGAAGGTTTACCCTCTTGCGTGCTACACAAGAAACACATATAAGCTAATGTGTTGTATAAATTGATGGTTTCGCATCCTTTTAGAAGTTTTACAGGGAAGAATCTGATGCTATGACATTCAGGAGGTTCCACCAAACAAAATAGTTGGTATGCGTAACTTTTTTGGGTTGTAACTTTGCTATTTCCCTTTGGAATTATGTCAAACTCAGGGGAGTATCATGTAGATACTTGCTTGATCTTAATGTACTCTTTTTTCCCTACCATTAGGAGCATTTTCCCACCGCGTTTTTGCTACCTAACTAGGTATTAACAAGGCACCCACCTTGGGCTGGTCATATCCCTGATGACGTCCAGTAGACGTTTCTTTAACTTTTGCATTTCTCACACATTTTCCCTTAGACTATGGCTTTTGTCCCTCCTCGGGTTTTTGCCATAGCCTTAGGGTTTTTTTAGTGAGACTTACTACTTATGCAAGTTCTTACCTTATTGAGAATAAGCGTTGTTCATTGGAATCAGTGCCGATAAGTCGACTTCCTCAACTTCTGCATGATGCTAAATCTACCTTGTATTACTAGTTTAAGTGTGATTGTGTAAATCCTAGATTAGATTTTATTCTAGTTATTATTTCCTATTACAACTTGTATTACTTGGGGAAAATGGAATATCTTCTCTCCTTCTATTACTATAAATAAAGGCACAGTGTAGGAATGATAACAATACACATTCCCTTACAATTCTACAAACACATCTCTCTTTTCTCTCTTCTCATTGCCGCCAGCCATCCTAAATATTATCAGATAAAATAGACCACAACATGATACTTATCATTGACAAAAATGAAGGATAAGATTACATTCATTACATGACAACTTACCTAACGAAAGATCACAGCCTGTCAAAACTTTTTCCTAAAGCGTTAAAGACGCGTATTAATAAAGACTTAATACTAATCAAACAGGAAAACAAATAGGATACAATCATAATCTTTATTATACTAGAAATTCCAATAAAGTATAAAAAGAACAAAACTCAAAACTTAAAAAAAGACCAAATTCCTAAAGAGCATAATTTAGATCCTCGCCATGGGCCTTGGAAAACCCAGGACCAACCCTGAATGGTCAATGCTGGGGTTGACGGAACAAAATGCAAGAAGCTCTTGATCAGACTCAAATATGGCCATTTCTTGTTCATCCAGGGTCACCCAAGCTTCGATACCATCTTGCTCTTTTGTGGCAACCAAAACAATTATGTTCTTGAGGGCACTTAGGCTGGTGACCCACGCAGGTTTCTCCCATCCAAAATCCATTTCATACAGAGGAAGCTGGCACAAACTTGTGGTTTTATAAACATTTACGATGTTATTGCTATTAAAAATATCAGTCCTCTCTCTTAGAGACTCAGATACCACTAAGAATCCATCCTCACCTTTAAATCTGCTGGCCTTCTCATTGCGAAATTCTGTCACTCCTTGCCTCATTTTGCTCACCAAATCGTGTAATTCAGTCTCATTTTCTTTTAACAACACTGGAATTGACCAAAACCAATTCCCCATGACATTTTTCTGATTTCTCCGGGATGATTCTTTTGCGGAAGCTCACCATTTGGGACACCACCGTTGGCTTGATCGAACTCACAGGCTTGCACTGACGGGAAGCTGCAATAGAACATCTCAAAATGATAGCCAAAACAAGTTGTATGGTTGATGGGATGAAGGTTTGGACAAAACTTCCAATTTTTTCCTTGAGACTGACTACTTTCGAGACATCGAATACAAACCTTCTTGTAACTAAACTTTGACTCTGGATTTCCAAGGTTCCCTTGATGGACGGCAAGGATAGCTCTCTAGGCGGCAACAAAGACCCTCCAATAAACTCCGGCGGCACCAATTGCTGTCCAAGGGCTCCATCATCACGATTTATCGCTGCCCATGCTCGCACGAACGTGAGGACTGATGCTGCATCTGCAATCTTGTGCGAAGGGGACACAGCAACAACAATTCCTCCACAGTTGAAAATGTTGATTTGAACCAGCAAAAGTGTAGATCCCAAAGCTACGTTGGCAGTTTCAGGATCATTTTTGGGCCATTAAGTGGTGGAGTAACTCGGGATTGGGTTGTCTGAGAAGGTCTGAAAAGCTGGCAGTTAACTCGGGCTTCCAGAAAATGAGCCCCTTCATCATTGCACTCAACTAACGTCGGGCTTTTGAGTTGGCCAGCCATTGGATAGAAATGAACTAAAGTTTTGGATAGAGAATCTTGCAAGCGTTTAGATTTTCTTGTAGTACTCTCTGAAGTTTTGGAAGCAAAATCAGAAGCATTGTGGTTTGGGAAGAACCATAGGATGGTTCCATATAAAGTAGAAGGCATAAGTTGGTCCACAAGAGAGAGGTTAAGAATTCTATTGTGAGGAGGAGTTGGAGATGATGGTTTGATGGTCTTTCTTGAGGTTATTTCCACCAGTGAATTGATATCACAACTACTGAGTACTGTACCATGTCTAATTGCCATTTTTGATCGAGTTGGAGATGAGGGTTTGAGAGGTTTGGTGGTCTAGATTAAGGTAGAAAATTAATTAGGAGGAAGTAGTTTGTCAGAGCGATCTTGGAGAATTTATAGAAACCGAAGAGATTGTTTAACATCCACCGACCATTTTTTTCCTTTAATATTTACCCTGTTGTAGAAGAAATTTTTTTATTGTGACCGAAACACATGTGGTACATCACATGTTTTTATACAAGTGATGAGAAAATTTATTTTTTAAGTTATTAACATTTTAACGCACATATCCCACAATTTGTATAATGACACGTGATGTATCACCCATGTTCCAACCATGGTCTAAAATATCCATAATATCCCGATATTTCCATCGAAATTTCCGTGTTTTTGGACTACCGATATTTTCGATATCATCGATATTTTAGACCTTGCTAAGTCACTCATATATCTTACCATGCAATGTATAAAGTATAAAATGTTGTACTAATTCATTATATATAAATGATTATGGTATGTTTAAACTTCTTTCATTAATTACTACATATTTTCGACACTGATAATGTTTGCCAGCTCGCTATATAATCAACTTAAATCAGTTATATCTATCATGCAATGTATTTCCTTCCAATTTTTTGTGATAAACTAATAGATAATTGACTAAATAAACATCCTACAAAGTTTCAATAAAAATTTCCAAGTTTTTCTTACAATTTCCGTGGTTTTTATTCAATTTTTATCGATATCGATAATATCCCGATATTTCTATCGAAATTTTCGTGTTTTTGGACTACCGATATTTCCGATATCATCGATATTTTATACCTTGGTTCCAACTACATCAAAAAAATCTCTCCTATTATAGATAGAGTGCGCAAATACTCTGATTAATTAATGTTCATTAACTAGAAAATAAAAATAGACCAAAAAATAAACTAGAAACAAGCATCGGACGGTTGGATTTGTAATCGTTTTAGGCTCTTGTAAGCAAATGTTGACCCAAGTTTAATCATCAAAATTGTACGTCATCTTCACATCATATAACGTTAATAGAACTTTGTAAGGCTGAATATTTCATTACCTTTATTAATTCTTTAGAGTTTACAATATATAGGCACGAATCTTATACTCTAAAAGAAAAGATAGAGATACAGAATGATTACAATTTAATATGTACAAATCCTACTCCTACTGAAAAAAGACTCCTAAAATATTTACAATTTATGACTTAAGTCAACACTCCCCTCATGTTGGTGCATAGATATCTTACATGCCCAACTTGACAAGCAAGTCATTAAACACTCTACTACACATTGCATGAGTAAGAACATCAACAAGTTGTTTCTCTTAATTTATGAAAGGAACCGACACAATTTTCCTCTTGAGATTGTCCATAATCATCAAAGTGTCTATCAAGCTCCACATGTTTTATTCTATCATGTAGTACAAGAGTATCTGTTATTTCTCTTGCAAACTATTGACACATAACAATTTCATCGCTTCTTTTGGTTTGAAACCAAGACATTGCAAAATGTTACGTAACCAAAGGAGTTCACACATTCCTTGTGCCATACCCCTATATTTAGCCTCGGCAGAAGACCTTGACACCACTTTCTATTTCTTAATACGCGATGTAACCAAGTTATACCTCCAACAAATGAAGTGCCATACCCCTATATTTAGCCTCAACAGAAAACCTTGTGCCATACCCCTATCTTACTCATTTTCTATTTACTACTTTGTTTATTGATATATGTGTTTGATGCATATGGATATTATCTAATTGATTGAATTTACATGTGAATTATGACTATACTGATTTTACAACTAGAGTCGTAGAATATGATGATGATAACTGTTTCACAGTGATTTGAAAGCCCCAATAATTGTGTTTTTTTCTGTCATTGACTTCCTGGGCAAGGCTAACCCCTGCCCTACGTTCATTGCATCAAATAGAAGTTGAACCTTTTATATGCCACTGTATTTTCTAGAGTTATCAGACGCATAGTTCAACAAACAGATTTTCTGTAATCATATTTTGTAGATTTTTTTTTAATTTTTAATTTTTAATTTTATTTATTTTTTGCTGGGCACCACTACTAATAATAGTACAGGACAAGAAGGCATCAACTATCATGGGATTTTTTTATATATTTTTTCTGTCATCTCCATCACCTCTCTCTTTCATAAGAAATAGTCTGCACTGGTTTTATCCCTTTTCTATCCTTGTTTTTTTGATCCCATATCATGGGATTGGGAATCAAGGGCATCAACTATCATCAAAATCAAGGGCATGAATTTGAACAACGTAAGAAAATGGTAGCAGCGACCATGGAAGGGATAAAACGCACATGAGATGGGAGATCAGTTAAATTAAGGTAGAGAACAAATGAATGTGGAAGGAAGATGGAGAGTTGTTTCATTTCTTTCTCATTGCCACATCACCTATCAGTTTAATGACTATCATGTTAACTTTTAATTATGATCATTAGATGTTAAAGGATCCAAGAGCTAATAATAATTGTAAAAATATTTGACAAAAAATTTGTCTCTTGATCCTAACCCACATATATATAATACTGCTTATAGTGCACGTTTGAATTTCTGCAGAAGGCTTGGAATTCGTGTTCAGTATTTGCATCTGGAAAGGTTGGTTTGCAACGCCACTTTAGTGTGTTTGAACCTTGAAGAAAATATAGGCCATTTCTTGAGAATGGACCCGCAAACAGTTTCTTTAATTAGTAAGCTTCTTGTGTTTTTTAAATGTAAGTTTATTGAGCAGTAAAGATAATTATGTTTGTGCTATGCAGCTATTGTGAAATAATTGAGTTATGATCATTTTAAACAATGGATTAAAATCTAGAAATTCTGAACAAAAACATGTTAGTTTGGGTTTCATATTGTATGTGGTAAAAATAGGCTGGAAATGTATGTTATGTTTGAGTGTTATTTCTTTTCTCATGGAATGGCGATTTGGGATCTTTACCATAAGATTAATTTCCTTTCTCATGGTATGGCGAACATTTTATTTTTCAACCAGTGCTAGTGAACATGCTGCAAAGTAGTGAATTGGTGACATTGCATACCTTTGTTATGAGTGATTATAGATGAACTATTGAGAAGGGTAATTTGAGATGAATTGGTGATTTTGTAGGCCTTTAACTTTTGAGTATTTAGTCCTTTCAATACATTTTATGATAAAATAAAAAGTAAAAGTGTATATATAAATCGGTGTCATGCTACCATCGGATTTGGTCAAAACAATATACTTGTTGATCATGTTAGGTTATACATAAAAATAAAAATGAAAAAAGCCTGGAAAGATATTTCTGTTTTACTTTTTCATCTCTTCATTAGATGTTACAAATTATGAATTTTATGTTAACCGAGTCTTGCTTTGTTGAGCTTTGTTTTGTTGAGTTTTGATCATGAAAATGAAGCCACAAGAATTGATTGATATTTTGTCTTCAGCGAGGCATGTAAGTTACTCTTCAAGGTATGTAGACTTACTGTAGGCACTACAAGACATCAGCTCGTCTACCACGACAATTTTACCACTGGCTTTATAAGCTCATTATAAAAAGTACAAATTTACCACGAGTATAATAAGCACGTAGTGAATAACATTTTTTACCATGGACAAATCTTAGTCCGTTATAAAATAAAAGTGAATGACCACATGGAAAGTTCCATGTTGTTAATATAATAAACCACCACATGCAAGGCTTGTGGTCATTATTTTCAGTATTTATATCACCTTTTGTTATTTACCACAAGCATAATGTGTGGTAGATCATACGTAATTAAAAAAAAATGGAGGAGGGAACACAAAATGTTTCAAAATTTCAAACATATATGAAATTTGGATTTTTCACAACACTCCTCAAAATCTGTAAATATTAGTTGAAAAATAAAATTATAATAAATATTATTAATGAAACATTACTTATCAACTAGAATTCCATGAAATTACGGTTATAACTCTCTACAAATAACAAAAGAGAAACATACAAATTATTTATTAAATCCCAGATAAATATGTCAAACACTAAAAAGTGAAAACACAAATTTAAAAAAGAAGAAAGAAAAGATAAACACAAAAAAGGTGAAAAACACAAATTAGAAAAAGAAAGAATAAAAACATAAACACAAAAAGGTGAAAACCACAAATTAGAAAAAGAAAGAAAGAAAAGAAAAACATAAAAAAGATGAAAAACACAAATTCAAAAAAAAAAGGGTAAATCCCTATTTACTACCCTCAGGTTTTGTGGTTTTCAACATTTAGTAAATCAAGTTTTTTTCGTCCCAGAGTCATACCTAAAGTGTAAATTTTGAAACAGCCTCATACATCCATTAGTCAAACTGTTAAGTCTCCCGTTAACTGTGACATGGCGCTCATGTGGACAATGACTGGGCTATTGTATCTCTTCCTTTGGAGGCAGCCTGCCTTTCTCCCAACGAAGAGGACTGAGCAGCCAGCGCCACGTATGGTACTCAATAGGAATGCACAAGGTGATGTGCACTTTCTTCATATTCGTCGAAGTTCTTAAAGTTGAGCCAAATTCCGAATCAACACAAAGTAAGAAAGATGATCAGTAAAC